GGTCGGCACATACAGCCCACGGGCCGCCTGGTTTTGCAAATAAAGTTCCATCGGAACACGGCCGTGCTCATTTGTCGACGTTTTGCCCGTGACCCCTGGCGCACACCAGCAGCGCTGAGTACGTCAGATCTGGTGGCCCACAGGCCCGGCCCTTTCAGGAAAAAGATCGCCTACCCTGTTGTGGCTCATCACTCAACAGTGATGGTCTCATTCCCCTGTGCACTGACCAGCATCTCAGAAACTCCTTCGATACACCTCATTCATAACTGCTTATGACAAGTCCTTTTCCTAGTTTACAGAGGGGCCAGCTAGGATACAGTTCAAACTAGGAGGTGACAAGGCCTCCCCCAGGGACCTATAGTCAGCTAGACCGTGTGTCGCAATTTCAAGTCTTGAGCTTGAACCCTAGCAATTCCTTTTGTTTTATCGCGACTGGAAGCTCGTGGACATAGTATGCTGGGGCGCCTTCTCCCTGCCCGCTGCTTTCTACACAGCTGTTTGCAGTGACAGCGTGGAAAGTAAGGAACGAATGTGGGATCAGTCAGAGGGTCCGAATGCTGACTTTTAAATGAAGACGTGGGGTGTCCGAAATATTCACTTACTTGGACTTGCACAGGTAGTGAGCGTGGACTTCCAAGAGGTCAGGGCCCTGCGGTGTCCCCTCGCAGCCTGCTGCACGTTGTCTTGGCAACTGCCTGGCGGTATATTGTCATTCACTTCATTTAAAAGCGAGGTCCAAGTCCAGTGCAGGAAAGTTACATCTAAAAGCAGAAAGTGGAGAGAATATCAAATGGTCTCATTCTGGGAGGAAAACGGAGAGAAAGGCCTTTGAGCCTCATTTCTGAAGCTGCTTAGTCGATTCTCCCTGGCATTTTATTGAGTAAAATTTCAAACATGCATACGGAAAATTTGAAAGAATCGTGCAGTTAAAACCCACTACGTAGATGGTATAATTAACATTTTGCTGTATTTGCTTTATTGCCTATTTATCCATCTTCGTTGGGTGCGTTTTAAAATACTTGTCATCCACTGTGAGCTCACCCATATGTGACCCACCATGGTGCTGAAAAATAGTGTTTTTTTTTAATTCGTATCTATATTTTCCAAGTTGGTGTGGATATCAGTGCAGATATACCTGGAAATGAGAGCCGTAGGGGGAGAAGCCATTTTGTTTCTGGAAATAGTAGAAGTGTCAAAACTCTTCCCATAATGCATCTCCCTGCACTGCATTTAGTGGCGTGGGGGGCAGCTGGTTCTCCCAGCAGCTTCTGAGTGCTTCTTCGCAACGAAGTCACATCGCAGTGCCACTCGCTTGATATTTGGCATTAGCCCCAAATATTCCGAATGACTTTAAATGTTCTAAAGAAACTCTCAAGAAGTACTCTGAGGCATTCTGAAAGACTTAGGTATGGCAGTGTTCACAATGTTGATAGCAGTTGAAACTAGAAAATGTTAACGTATTGGCGAAGAGTAAATTTGGATAAATTTTGGAGTATTTGTGTAATAAAGCAACATACAAATTAATTGAAAAAAAAAATAGCCTACAGGGCAGTAGTGTGGTTTCATCTAATTTTTGTGAACCAGAAATTCATGTTTGTATGTGCACACGCGAGAGGGAGAAATGTTAAACTTTCTGGGCTCTGTGACTTTCACTTTCTATCCTTTATGTATCTCTGGAATTTTTTAAAAACGTTCCTTTATGACTTCCGAAGTTAGACAGATTGAAAGTATTTCCATTTGGGAATTTGTCGCCCTGAACGGAAGCGGAATAAAGTGGGGCGATGAGGGGGCTGGAGAGAGCTGGGTACGGGGAGTACAGGGTCGGGGGGATCTCTCGTCTTCAGAGGAAGGCACGCGGTACCAGCAACTCCATCCTTGGTCCCGCAGTGCGGGCATTTCACACCCGCACCTCACGGCTTACTTTACCGTTTATTCCCTAATGACACCTGTTGACATTCCTGTCCCACCCTTGTCCCTCTGGGCTTGAATAAGCTGAATAATTACTGGCAGCAGCTGCTAGTAATGGCTGCTCAATGAAGCGAGGGCTCAACCGCATCAAGGCCCCTGCCCCCTCCCCCACTACACAGATTCGTGGTGGGAGAGGCTGGGTCTGCTTGGGTCTCCCGATCGCTAGACACAAGATTTTGCTGGTGGTGGGTGAAACAGTTAAAAATGAGCCCCGAGAAACTGCTCCTGTGTCCCCGTGTGGTTTCCGGGTTTCTGCGTGTCACCGCGTAACAGGAAACCCATGTGCCCTGGCCGGTGCTGCCAGCATCTAAGGATGATAATTAATCGCCTGGGCTTTGGGCCATCATTGCTGACCTGCCAGGGTTCCAGGTTGCCTTTCATGCTGAGTAGCTAAGAACTGGGAATCTTGGAGGCAATAGGCTAGTTCCTTAGAAAGAAAGGGCCTTGGGGAGGGGGTCTTTGGCTTGTCCTACGGGAGGCTGTGCTCTCAGCCTCAGCCCTCCTGGTAGGGCGGTCGTGGAAGGAGGGGACTAGCCCGGGCCACCCAGCTCCTTGTGCTCCTTTCGGTGACGCGGGCAGCTGACGGGGGTGGGGGACAGGTAGATTCCGTTCCTTTTCACACATGGCGGAGGTGAGTGCTGGGGGCAGTTGCGCTTTTGAATGACAGGCTTTGTTACCTGCTCAGTGTAAACATAGAAGGAGATTTCGTTCAGTGCTTTTGGTCCGGAGTATAGACTGGTGGGTCATAACGGCCAGACATACAAGGACTGCTGAGACAGCACGTCACCCCACTCAAGGGTAGGGGTGCTGAGGTGTAAAGGGGGGAGGACTCGCAGGCAGCCGCAGGGTCCGCGTCAGAGCTCACTCCTGCGTCCCAACACTTCGGTGAGTTATTCTGTTATCGCACTTTTATCTCATTTAAAACGGAGGCAGGAATCCTCGTTCAGCAGTAGTCGTCACAGGGGGTGCAGCGTCCTTTGCCACATGAAGAGCGTAACTGCGAAGCGAGCAGCAGCGCCTGCGGGACTGAAATCTGCGGTTTGGGCTGTGGGCTGCATGACTTGACTCATGTGGTCAAAGTCAAGTTAAAGTGAGATCTGAAACTTCACTGTTCTGTCTTAGTTTTTCCTTCTTCCTTGTCCCAGTACTGCAGGTGACGACGAGTGCCATCAGAAGCCCTGCCGGCCCCGCTGAGGCCACTGGGGAAGTCGGACGGGCCGCAGTCAGCCCCGCGCCGTCCTGGTAAGTGGTCCGTGGCGGTGGCGGGCGCGCCCCGCACGTGGGACGAGGCGGGGAGGGGTGGGAGTGGGCGCCGCGCAGCCGCCCGAGGTCGTCCCGCTGTGATATGCGGTCTTTGCAGAGCGATAGCTACTCGCTGGAGAAAGTGGGCTGGAATCTGAGCCATGACCGTGTGTCCTCTAGACTCCCTCAGAGCCTGGGGACGCCACGTGCCACAGAAGTGTTCGGATTCGTCACTGGAAGACTGAACAGTGGTGTCCGAGCGCGTGCTCCGCCATGGCGCGAAAATCTTTGATGCTTCAAACCACCTGGGATGTTGTTAAAAATACCTATTCCCGGGCAGCCAGAAACCGTGTCATCGGTCAGGAGCGACGCCGAGACTTAATCTGTCACTCAGCGGGTTCACCAGCGAGCCCGAGTGAGTCGCCGTCGCCGTGGGTGTCATGACGAGGCGTCTGGGCAGCTTCGGGGAGTCGGTGGAAGTTCGGGGGGGTTCTCCACGTGCCATGCGAGAAGGGATGGCCGCGACGCCGGACCCCGCCGTCCTTCAGCAGGCATCGATTGAGTGCTTGCTGAGGGCCAGAGACTGTTCTAGATAGTCCCAAAGTTCTGCCATTGTAGAGCTGTCATTCCTGTGAGGGCAGGCAAAGGAATAAATGCGTAAGTGCACAGCGTGTCAGCGTGACCGGAGACGTTTCTCCATTCCGGTGGGAAAGACGCTCGTGGGGGACTTTGCGTTTCTGTCCCCAGCTCCCGTTCTCGCTTTTTCCCTTTCAGTGCCCGCCGCCGCGTGTCAGTGCGGTGGAGGCGGAGCAGGCTGACTGAACGAGGGTCGTAGACGGTGACAGTGGTCTTTGTGTCTCTGCCGGAAGCCGTCACGAGGCTGCGCAGCGGACGATGTCTGCGAAAGGCACGCGGGAGACGCCGCCAGCTGCTCCGTGTGACGGACAGTGTGGCGAGTAAGGTAAGCAGGGGCGAAGGGCTCACTTGGCCCTGGCTTCTGTCATGGAGGCTCCGGAAATGTCATTTTCGGGGCCTGTACTTTTAAAGCCCACAGGGCGTTCTGCACCACAGCGTTGTCCCCAGTGAACTAAGTGGCAAAGGCGCGTGTCGCACGATGTCAACGTGACGCTGGTCGAGAGCCTTTCTTTTTCCGACACGTTGTCAAGAGGCTCGTGGTTTCCGTGGCAGCGAAGCATGTGGCACCTCGGACGCGTGACCTCGGAGGCAGCAGGGGTCGCGACCTTTGCAGCCGTTGGACTCGCGCTCAGTTTGGGTTCACCATTCATCTCGACAGCACCCGTAAAACGGCCACGCGTGCCTTACGCTAGCAGCGCCTCCTTCCGCACTTCCTCCTGGGGCTACATCATTTCTTGGCATCTGCCACTCTTCATGGAATAAAGGTCACCTTTTTCCATGACGATGGTCTGCAAATGGAGCCCGCGGAGCACGGTGTCCCTGGCGCAGGCTCCGGCGTGTCTGGCTAACTCCTACCGGAAGCCCTGCGTGGACGAGGTGGCACGGGGAACCCAAATGACAGAGAAGCTGGCTTCTACCGCGGAGAAGCCTGTCACACTCGTCGATCAAAGGGAATTCCTGTACCGTGTCTTCCACGGCTCACGTGACATTGCTCGCATGTCGGGACATGAATGTTAACGTGCTCTTTCTCTGCCGG